GGGTGTTGCTAGGGGTTCAGCCCTTTTATGCAATTTTATTGGTTCGTTGACCTTCGAGGACTCAAACAGCGCCGTCTCGCTTTTTTCCCAGTCTCGTGCTAATCATGTGCGGTCACAGTCCCTGCAAACGTGAGGGCGTGTAAAAGTGCATGGATTGCTCGCAGTCAGGCAGCCTTTCCCAGCAAATACTGGTTCAGGATGGCATCAGCTGGGGAAAAAGTAAGCCTCCCTGGCTGGCCCAAAACCACTCTCTCCTACGTCTCACCTGCTGGTTACATTGTGTTATGTACTCTTGAAGGTAGAGATCAGAGTAGTGCCTTGAGTACCTCGATAATGGTACACTTTCAGGTGATATGTGATGATTGGAAATCGGTCCTTGTGGATGAATTTGTAGAGATCACTTTTAGTCGTGAACCGCAATGCAAGGAGATACTGCAGATCACAACCCAGATAAGGATGGAATTGAACCGAGGTAAGTGTACCAGTAACACATGAACGGTAGACTAGGAAACTGTGCTATACATAGGAGGCAACACACACCAGCTCTGAGAAATCTTCTGGAACCAGGGGGGTCGTATTTCGAACGCTGATTAGAAGTTCTCGCTGAGAGCAGCGAGAAGTTCTCATCAGCGTTTCTCATTGAGAACAATGATCTGCATCAGTGTGAGAGGGTTGGCAAAGAACAGAGAATATTCCGTTCCTAGTGTAAAAAGCTTCTAGATAATGCTGACTTCCATTCGGAAATTTGAGGGAAGGAGGCAGGTGAAAATGGACTTTTACGTCAAAGGGGGGGGGTGTAATAGATGCTAAGAGAACCGTACTAGACGACCTGCTTTGTCCTGCTCGGGAGACGACCGAGGCAATCATGATTTGACGCCTCGAGGCGCGAGGCCATGGACGCGGCATTTCTTGATTTGCCTGTCGATTGGAGCACAGGATGTTAGTGTGAACTATGACATCGGTGACATTTATGACCACTTTTGTCTATAAATTGTTTATTGCCGCCAACTACGACACAGAGACATCGTCATTTGTGAGCGCGACGTCGCAGTGATGTCCGCCACCGCCGCAAATTAGGATTGTGTCTTGTCACATACCCTTCCTGCTCGCAGAATGATTATGTACTTGAATCCACTATGTTCAGGTCTGCAAAGGAAGTTGTATGGTCAAGACTTCAGTGCTCGGATACTCACTGATTTGATAAATCGGCTCGCTTACCAGCTCTGTGAAGGGGACATTGAGATTTCGTTAGTTTTTCAAAGTTGCTAAGTGACATACTTTTTTCACCTCGTGTTATAGCCTTACTTCCCTTTCACGCGGGCGGGCGCACATCTCCCAGCCCAACGCCATTCCTCCGCACGCGAAAAGCTTTACGCCTGCCATTTCTGCGTACTCCACGTAAGGGCCCTCTGATGCGTATGGGTATACCTGAGGCGGCTACTGCGTCTTGCGACTCCAGAAATTTCGGCACCGGCTCATTTTTAAATTGCCTAAGTCACCAAATCCGCTAAAAACTTGTATATAGGGGTAGTTTAACATCCTGATTAAGAATATGACATTAACACTTGTCGCTGGCGCTAATGGATGACACTACGATTATCTGCGCTCTGCTAAGGCTGAGCCCAAGACGCAGGGCAATCTTAGTGTTACTCTCTTGGCGCCAGCGGCAAGAGTTAATGTCATATTCGTGATCAGGATGTTAAACTACCCCTACATACAAGTTTTTAGAGGATTTGGTGACTTAGGCAATTTAAAAATGGGCTCAGTGCCGAGTTATTTCTGGAGCCTCAAACGGCATTTAAAGCCTACCTTGGGTAATCCGAAGTCCTGCTCATTTGCCATCGCGTAAACTGGCAGAGTATTTCTGTTAGTTGCTAGTTAGATGTTTGATGATAGATTTTGTGTGTGGTAGTTAGATGAAGGATTGGCATTATAAATCAGTGAGATCCTGGTGGGAACGCTTTGCATGCTAAATCCTTTGTAACCTCTTTTTAACCGCTCCCCTCGCAGCTCGGGTCTGCTTGACATGCCCTTTTTCTTTCCAAAGTATAGCTTTGCTTTACAGTACTGCTAGGCTGAGTCGAAATTGCTTTTAATCAAATGGAGAGGGAACTTCGTAGTACATCACCTGTCCTCATAGATTCATTGAAATGGGAATCCGTGTTTAAGTCACTTTCTTTCAGTATGAAACGTATGGTCCACCCTCCGAAGACTCTGGAAGATGTTGGCTTTTTCACACCTGATGGAGAGGTCGAGCTTGAATTGGAAGACCCACCAGTGGATCAGTCAATGAAAGTTGAAGCAGTAGAAGACGAGGACGGGGAGGACAGTGAGGAAAGAACGGTACGAAAGTCTTATCGTTTCTTCATTTTGTGGTTCCATGCATGTAATTGCGTTCTGACTTTGTAAACAACTTCTATAGGTTTTGCACTTCATTTAGAGATCAGACGTGCCTTCTGCAAGCGGTGACGTTCATTCTGTGAAAGAAGAAAAGATTAAAACGGAAAGGAAGCCTACATACTACGAACTGTTGCAACAACGCATGCGAGAACGTGAGACTGCTGTAGGAGTGGAACAAACACAGGAGAAAAAACCTCGACTTGAATGATCTCGTGGAGATATTGTGGGTAAAAGTGCTCTTTATTGTACATAAATGATTTATTAAGTCAGTGTTATTTACATACATTTTGCATTTCATTTTTCACTCATCGCTTTCATCTTCTTCCCAAATTTCTCCCATTTCGAGCGTCACAAACTTCGAGGACGAGTTAGATTTGCTCATGAGCTCTTCCAAAAGTTTCTTCGGTTCGAGGTAGTGCTGAAAAACAGTTTCACCAAAGCGGCAATATAGCACCAAAAGCGAAGATACCGCCACTATCAGAAGAAGTACGCAGCTACGCCCTCTCCATCGCTGGGTATTGGTGTACAGTCCTCATCATTACGTACTGTCGGGGCGGCACAGCCGCGCTGCACTGTGACGCGACAGCGGCTGCGGCTCGGTGACGGTGAATCAGCTGATTTCCATGGAATTCGGCTGCAAATTCCCACTTTTCAGCTCTTCAAGCTTCTAAAGTGGAAGGTGAGTTATTCTGAACAATTTTGAATTGTACTGGCTCTGATTTCCTTTATTTTTATGTCGATTATATGCTCTTTTCCTTGTATTTTGCCTTATTTCAGGCATTTATTCAAATGGCTTGCATTCTTTCAGATTCAGAGTCAGTACAATTCTAAATTGGTCAGAATAACTCACCTTCCACTTTAGAAGCTTGAAGAGCTGAAAAAGTGGGAATTCGCAGCCGAATTCCATCGAAATCAGCTGATTCACCGCTGTCGCGTCACGTGCGGCGCTGTGCCGCCCCGACAGTCCGTAATGATGAGTCGGGGCGGCATTCACATAGAAACTTACACAACGTACCTCATGTGATCCATGTGATAAGTTCCCCAGTGTATACCGATCGAAAATTTGGAATTTATGAGCTCATGCACAGCTACGGCTTCATTGGGATCGATGTGCTGCGATTTCATAATCCATCTGAAAGTGAACAAGTGTGTATGTGGATGAAATGATTTTGTTACTCTTGGAAAAATAGGATTTTGCATGGACGCGGCTGACGCGCACGCACTTTAAGCGCCCAAAGGGCTAAGAACCAAAAATAGCTGAACTAGCAAATGGTAGTCATTCATTCTCCATTTGCGTGAATCGAAATCATCGGGCTCCCACACATGAACTAACCACTAATCGCGACGCTTTATACAGCGACGTCCATGGGACGCGAGCGCTCTCCTACTGCCCCAGCAGCGTCCGGACGTAAAAGTTTGGCACCTTTAGAGCAACGAAGCACGCCTAGCATTATATGAAGTAGTTCAACCCACATGGCTACGTATACAACATCAACTATAACAGCACCCATAGGGACCTGATCGGAAAGATGACAGCAATGGGAGCTGTCCTTACAGTAACACGAAAAGTAATAGCAATTACTACGCATTAACTTCAAAGGTTAAGCTAGTTTTCGCCCCTTTCATCCCATCCCCAGATGGGTGTGGGATGAAGATATCAGCTAGACCGTTCGGGAAGTGCCGTTGCCCGCCGCGGCTCAAATGTATAGAATACGCCTCACAGAGAGCAGCAACAAAGCGCTGTTTCATATGGAACTTTGCCGGTGGTGGACGAGTCAAACGAGCTGGGATACCACTTCTGCATGCAAGGCACTTGGCAAGCCACATATGTACAGTCTCGTTTGCTACGGATGATGGGGCGTGTCAAGAGGGGGGTGGGGTAGGGGAAGATGGGAAGCGGCGCCAGCCACTTTTTTTTCTATTTCTTTTTTTCTTACGGCAAGCAGCCATGACTGTAACATATCGTTCGTGTCTGTCTTTCCACCAGTTGTGGCCGCTTATCCGCTCTGGCAACTAGAGCATAATGGGCTGGCAGCGGGCTAGTTCCTGCCACACTGATAAGTCCCTTCATACGCAGCGAACATGACTGCACGAGAAACCAGTAAAGTGACCTTTTAATTATTCTTTCTTTTTTCAGCTCTCCTTTCTCATTTTAATTGTAGACGTCCAAAACTCACCGTGGTTTGTAAGCACCGATGGGGATTGCTGCAAGATTGAAAGGACCCAGTTGGTCGCCAATCTTCTTGAATTCCTTATCACAAAAACCAGTATCACCAGAGTAGTAGAACCGACGATTCGGCGTCAAAACTGCCCATCCTGACCATAATCGCTTAACGGGGTTTTTGTAAAACCAATGAGAAACTGATATAAAATGTTTCTATGGGAATGATCACGATAATAAATGCATTCCTAATTCCTGAAGCAAACTGGGCCATATTCAAGAGAAGAACTGTGCTGGATTTACCCCCCCCCCCCAACTGAAACTTCTTTCCATGCACCGCATAAACGCGATGGCTAGAAGGCAGGCAGCAGTACGCACGTCATTGGTGGAAGGACTCTGGGCTATGCCCACCTGATGGTGGGCTATACGGTCTCCCACCAAAGATGTTGCCCGGCCTCCTGGAATAGGTGTCCACTACTCTTAACCCCTAGACGTACCTTACATTAGATCCTGGAATCAGAGCATACCATGTGAAAGTTGCTAACCCCTCACAATTTCCCTACCATGATATCGAATTTTTCAGAATTTTGCCTTCGAGCAGTGGAGTGGTAGGAAGGGGTGAACACCTTCGATCAATAATAAGTAATAGTAGTTCTGACGCGCTGCCAAATAAGAGGGAATCAACAATCGAAAAATTTCCCAGGGCGATCTCCTTGGCCCATTAAGCAGGGAAAACTGCAGAATTAAACAGCTTCTTAGCGACTCTTCTGATATGTAGGAAAGGTAGTTGCTGCAAACTGCATCTGATTTCGCGATGATAGAAGAATACAGGGTGTGTGACAAGACAATCGTGATATGCCGCGATAGCGCGCTTGGCGAGCGACGCCGCGTGTGCTAGACAAGTTCCCTTGTCTGACCGTTTGGATTTAGGCGTTCAAGGGACGGGAAAAGTTGGTACCGCCCGCCGTGGAGTCTTATCTCCGCTTGAACTCCTGTGAATTTCGTACGACAAACTGTCGCACATAGAGAACTTGCCAGGCATCGCCGTACGGTAAGCCGCGCGCGACGACGCGACAAACTACGATTATCTTTTTTGTTTCCCAAAAGTACATCAGCTATGTCGGATCAGAAATTGTGGGAGGAAAATCAGTAATGAAGAAAAGTCGCTTTTACGTACTCCCAGAGGAAATTCCTAAAACCAATTATCTACTGGTTCTTAGCATTCGAACTAGACTACAGGGGGGGGGGGCAAAAAAAGTCACTTCGACCGAGTCACATATCAGCAAAGTTTTCGCAGCCCAGACAGAGGACGTGGATACGAGTACCAGGGCGATACCCAAGATGTTCCTCGATAAGCAGGAGCTGGCTCTTGCCCATCACCTTCATGTACACCAAAATATGAAGTCATCTCCAGTAGCAGTCTGACTGGAGAAGACCTTGGAATTCATGTCACCTCCAAACAGCTGCGAAACTTCTAGTATGGAGTCACCCATGGATAGCTACCTGGAGACCAGTACTCTCGATCTGGATGACCTCCAACATCGAGCAGCTCCGACAACGTCGCTACGGTCCAGGATATCATCTTCACCACAGTCAAGTCTCGCCTACTTGGAATGGAAGGGCGTTGAGTACCTAAAGGAGATGGAATATCCAAGTAGGTCACCTGACCTAAACTCCCTCAATTACCCGGTTCGGGCGGAGTTCAATAGGGTGGTCTACGGTGGCGGAGAAATCGACTATCTCGCTGATCTCAGGCACCACATCGCGGTCGCGTGCCAGAATCTCTCGATGGCGCTCGTCCAGAAGGCTGTGGCGGAGTGTCATGATAGTATTTAATATGCTCTTTAATATGGTGGTAGAAATGTCCGATCAGAATTCAATAAAGTGTAACTTATAGCGCCTCGAAAGTCAAGGAAGAAAAGTGACTTTCTTATGCCCCCCCCCCTGTAGACTTCTATGGTCATCGTGGACATTATCCTCAAGAATGCCTAGAAGAACACTCTCAACTGACCTCATTTCTGTCGAATGCCCCTCGCTGTCCCCAATGTTGGGCTGGCAAGCACCAAACAGTCGCTTCTGTCTCATTTACTCGGAACGACTCGTTTTCACCCCTAAATACCACATTGGTGAATTAAAAAGTAGTACCGTGAAGGGATCGAGAAACACCAACATTGGTGAATAAAAGGCAGTATCGTGAAGGAGCAACCTACCATTCCATTTCAGTGACCTTTTTGGGATGCTCCGCAGTGTTTTCAATGCCGATAGTACTCATCCAATCCAACATTCCAAGCGGCACGAACCATCGCATAGATGGGTTCAAACTTAAAGAGATTTTTTTGACAGTTTTTCACAGGTCGCAGAGTATGCAATGCTCAGAAGTAATTCCACGCTGATCGTGTGGGAGAGATTAGGGATTCAGCTGAGTATTCTTTACTTTATCAGCATTCCTCCTTCCAAGGCTGTCAAGAGGAGGGGAACGTTGGCGAACAGAGTAACCGTAAAAGCACAGACAAGGTACTGTTCTGTGCTCCATACCATTGCGCCCATCCTTGCAGGCCGGTCAAGAAGAGATACGCACCAGCAAGGAAGGTACTATACCACGGTACAGATGACTATACCCTTACGACCAGCTTGGAATTTGCATCGAATTCCTTGTGCCAGATGCGTCATGTGCTTTCGATCTCCCGAATAACACCTGGTTCCCCTTAAAGACAGCCCCCGCGCTGAAGTAA